AAAGGCTCAATAGGATTTGTTATAATCTCATTTATTACCATGTGGAAGATATTCTGAGACTGAGACTTAAGAAGGGGTGATTTTGTATTTCAATCATATTTTGACAATACTCTGTTATTAAGGCTGTCGAAATTGGAAGATAATCTTAAAGATATTTTGTTTACTTTTTCATTTTGTCTAATTTATGTCTCTTTTTTAGTTAGAGTGTTTGGTATACCAATTTAACATTCAAAGTATGAATAAAAATTGATTGTTGATCAATCCATTGATTATTAGGTGCAATTATTAATTGTAAAGGTTGTTGCAAGTTTTTGAACACATTTTTCTCTGTCCCATGAAAAATTCATCATTTTCAAAATTGACCCATGTGACGAGTAATTCCATAAAACTGAACTTTGAAAGTTGTCAAAAAGGGAATGTTTGTGATTTTTCAAGGGGTACATGGGGGTATAACATTTCATTTTGGCCTATGGTTAGAGGGGTATGATGCTAATTTTAACTTGTGGTTCTTAATTTTAGGGCTTTCTAGTCCAAGGTATAAAGTAGTTGTTCTGTTGGCTGGAGTTTCCTTCCTTATGATCTCATCATTTGCGGGTTATACAACATATATAAGAATATCAAAGTGTAGAGAAGGTAAATTGTTTATGGCTTCTCGTGTTATTCATTGGAATTGGAGTTAAAGATTCTATTCTTTTGAGGTTTGCTAATTTTAAGCAAATTTTAGGATGCTATGTTGTATCATCATCCTGGAAACACAAAAGCTTCTTTTGGACACAAAAAAGTGTTATTCCACTCACAAACATGTGTTCCTAAATCTCAGTCGTAGGAGACACTTCTTGATTAATCAAATCTTTTGCAGCATTTGATATGTCAATAACAACTTTGCATGCTAGAATAATTATACCAGATGCATAGTCCTTTGTACCAAATGGTTGTTGATTCAAAAAAGCAACAACACCTTACAAGATTTTAAAAAAGATTTAAATATCCCTCGTCATTCGAAAAAGTAAATAGCCATGGAAAACTTATCTTACCATGTTTGCTTTAAGTAGAATCTATTGGTTTCATACTTGTAGATGATAATCACGTAATGTCATGTCACTAGGTGATAAATAAGGTGTCTAATGAGTTGAGTAAGAATGGATTACCATATCTTCCAACTTGAAACTAAAATAACCACATAATATACATGGTTGTGGGTGTCGTTCAAATTACCATGACTACACTTTCTAATGCATGCCAACCCAACTAAGCCTTTACCATTGAGCTGATTAGCTTCAAGAAAAATTGTTTATAATATTTCGTATGTTATTGAGCCAAATCTATCGGCAATTTTTTTAGCAAATCTTCTATGAGCTATTTTTTCATCAAGTTCAGCTAGTTCATTGTATCTATTTGTGTAGAAGAATATATGTTTCATGTAACAGAAAAAGAAAACAACTTGATGTCCTAACCTATAGTTATTATTCCAACCATGTCGGTAGATAAATCATTCCATTTCCTCTAAATACTTTTTGGAAGATATGGAGATTACTTTTGAGGCATTTTCTTGTTTTGGAGGTTATTGGCATATTTGATTATGATAGTTAGTTTTGGAAGTGTTATTTTTTATATTTACATAGTTTTGAATTCTAACATAACTTTTGGTTTTATGTTTTATAGGCCTTACATTGTGTTTGTGGTATTTCATATTTAATTTAACAAATTCCATGGTTCATTGATAAGGATTTTCCAGGTCCTGCTTTAGCCAGACACCGATAGAGAAGTAATTGTCAAGCCTCTGTTCTCCTCTGTTTTCTTCATTCTGCATTAGGTTTATCTTTTGTTTTCCTGAGTTTTCATCTTTTACATCAGACCTGTGTTTGAACCTTAGAAATATAATTCTCAATATAACTATTATTTTTTTTTATTTTTTAATTTTTTGCATTAGACTTTATGCAAGCTTGCACAATAAAAAGTCTACTCAGGAGTACATTAAGCCAAAGGTAGCTAAAGTTCATGTAATTCCAATTCTAAAGTCAAAACATTTGTTATACATTGCTTTCAAGAAACAACAATATACTTTCCTTTATTTGACAAGACAAATCTAGTTTTGGATACTTCATTGTGCTAAAGTTTAGGTATTTCCAATTCTAGAGTCAAAACGTTTGTTATACATTGCTTTCAAGAAACAACAATATACTTTCATTTATTTAATTTTTATATTCACTCGTCTTTCTATTTTTTATGTGAACCATGAGAGCATGATTTTAAGGTGCTTTAACCACTGCTAATATACTTTAATTTATTGGAATTTTTTTCTTATATGTAAAAACTGAATTATAAAATTTTTATATTCATGATAATTGTATAATTTTTATATTCATGATAATTGTATAGAAGGTATAGTAAGTATGGTTTAGTTCTAGTTCTCTTTATTAGTATCTTATATTTAAAAGTACAATGCTCTAATGTGGTGTCATCCCATAATTTTATTCTTTTTTTATCTTGTTCTAAAAAGTACATTGCTTTTTAAAAAAGGAAGAATATTAGGATTCACATCTTTGTCTAATCCAATGAGCTTTTTGAAAGGAGCATCTAGTACAATAACATCCCAAGAGCTTCATTTAATTTTGTCCATTATATTATCCTATCATAACATTTACTTTATAAAACTTTCCTATTATGACATTGTACTTACAAAATCTACCATATTGTAAATTTTCCTATCATAACATTGTACTTAATAAAATTTTCCTACTCTAGCATTATACTTACAAAAATACCATATTATAACATCGTATATCCATGTTTTAACTGTAGGTTGTGTATGAACATATACGAGAAGAGATGTGTGGGTAGATGGACGCTGAAGTTGCAAGAAATGGAAGCCAAACATCAATAAATGGGTGAGGAAAATATGATCTTTTTTGATGCTTTGGTAAATTTTAATATTTGATGTTTTTGGATGATTTGGTAAACATTGATATCTATGTTTTTGGATGATTTGATAAATTTGATAGTTTTGGCATTGCAATGGTAATGTTTGTTGGGTTTTATAATATTGTTTTGATTATTAGTGTTCTTTAAATGTTAAATGTTTGCTTTGGGATTGTATTATTAGTTGATTTTTTTATAACTTTTGTTTTAGATTCATAATAAAGAAATAATAATAAGTTATATATTTGCGAGGGATCAACGACGAAAAATAAATTTAAAAAAAAATCATATATGAAGTTTGCTAGGGATCAGCGATGGAAAATAAAAAAAAAAATAAGAAAATCATTTGTGAATTTTACTAGTGATTACCGACTGAAAATTAAAAATATTATATGAAATTTGCAATGGATCAGCGACAATATAAAAAAAAGCTAATATGAATATTTGCGACAAAACAACGTTCAAATATTGTTATCAAATTTGTCTCCAATGTCCTAAATAACTGTATTAAGGGACCATTTTGCGTTCATTTTGCGATGGATACTCCGCGCTAAGTTTATCACAAGGAAAATTTGATTTTTCGTTGGAACCCTTGCCAAGTCATTAGCCACACTTTAATTAGCTAGGGAGTATATCGGTTGCTAATCCATTGCAAACAAAACTTAGCGACGGATTCGTCCGTTTCTAAAACCCATGTTTCTAGTAATGTGACAAGGGGCTCAAATTCAAACGGCATTAATTATGAGTTTCAAATGTCTCGACCTATTGTTGGTATGAATTTTGTTCCAATACTCTTCCCTTCACTATTCCCATCTTCTTTGAAGGATTCATGTTTGATTTTTAGGTCAAGAATATAGTGATTGAGTTAGAAACACAGAACACTCATAGGAACACGTTCTATAAGATGAACACTCTGATACACATTTGTTCATAATTTATCAGTATTCCTTCACAAAATTTTGAATTTTCAATGGCATATCACTGAAAATTTTGGAAATGAAGTTATAATTTTTCAATAGGTTTAGGAAAAAACAACATTGAATAGTCTGAGGAGAAGAAGCATAAGATTTCCTTACCACATGATGTTAAGGTCATAATTAACCCCTTTTGAGTTTGTTCTTGGTGTATCAGTTTATTACTTTGAACTACTGGTTTGATTAATAATGGGTGATATTTTGACATAGTGATTGATGAAACAAATTTTGAAGGAAATGTAGTTTGATATTGCGAAGACAAAACAAATGTGGGCTAATATGATCAAATGGAGGAAGGATTATGGTAGACACAACCATGGAGTGCTAATATTGACCTCTTCAAAATGCAACATTTCTAACTACATTGTATTTTTAACTTGGTTTATAGATCAGGGACTAAAAAACATGAAAAAAATGATAGAAAACTTATCCGATTTCTACTGAACATCTATGAAAACAACTATCATTAGGGACGTAGTTTATAATAACATAAATATATACACACTATATATTTATGGAAATAACTATCCTCAATAAATATACAATTTTATGTTCGGATTTTACAATTGATTGGTTTAATTTATGAAGTGTACCTAGCCTATTTCTCTTGGATTATCAGAGGTTTTTGCTCAAAGTTGAGAGTGTTATGGATGAGGCAAGCTTTCTCTAAAATTTTATATTTTAATTGACCAATTCATTTGTGTTTTCCTTTTGCTTATAGGGATGCTTCTTACATTTTAGGGTAAATTGTACCAATCGTCCCTCGTGCACATGTCAGAAAGCGTGTTTAGTCCATATTTTCAAAAATTAACTCGGACCGTCCATGGTTTGCATAAAACTTGCACTTTTTGTCCCTGATATACGTTTTTGTTGCGCATCTAGTCCATGACAGATCTAAAATGACCATAATGCCCTTTGTCTATTTCTTTTCCAATTAATTTAATGTTATTATCATTTTTTTAATTAAAAAAAAATAAATATGGCCCCACCTTTTTAAAACTCTTAATTCTCTCTCTCTCTCTCTCTACCATCACCAGGAATATTCACCACCACCGCCGTATATCTGAACCACCACCAAAATCTCTATCTCTAGTGTGCCGCCGTCACCTACCACCATCTCACATCTTTGTCTAAAATCCTAAAAAAAACACCTGAATCTCCTTTTCCACCACCATCAAAAGCTTCATTGTTCACAAACGCCTCACCTTCTTTGGAACTGTCACATTGTCGTGATTGCCGTCTCGCCGGAGAACGTGACCTCTTCATCAGATCTACACCATCATCGTCTTCGTTGCCATCGCCTTCATCTTTGTGACTGTTTCTTTTCTTGAAAACCTTCTTCATCTCATATCTACACCATCTCAAATCTACACATTCTTTGTCACTACCTGTTCGTTGAAGCTTGCAGATCTCGAAGTGGTGGGTCGATGGACTATCAAATCGGGAGACGAAGATGGTAGTTCGTCAAAGATCACAGATCTGGAGGATGATGTAACCATATTTGTCTCAGAGGTGAGTTGCTTCGAACCTTCATCGTCTCAGGGTTGGAACATCACCGCCTTCATTGTATTTGGGTTCCGATCTGAGGTTTTTTAACACCATCGCCTAGGGTTTCGAATTCCACCTAGGGTTTCAAGTTTGGTTTGGTTTGGTTAAGTGGTGGTAAATGGTCGTTTCTAGTTGTAGTCGACTAGTGGTTGTTCATGAGGTGTTAGCGGTGATAAGTGGAGGCACTGGAGGCGGCTGGTGGCTAGAGGTGGATGGTGGCAGGAGGTGGGAGAGAAATAGGATTGACATATGGTGGTGATGGGTGGTGGTTAACGGTAGTGACAGGTGGTGGTTTCGGGTGGTGATAAGTGGTGGTTGTCGGAGTTGAGAAAGAAAAAGATAAGAGAGAGATAATAATTGTGGTGGTAGTGTTTATATTTAATTAAACAATTTTTTAATAGATTACTAATTAATAATTAATAAACAAATCAAAAAAGAAATAAACAAGGGCAAAATAGTCTTTTTATGTGCGGAGGAACTAAGCGTGCAAGAAAAAACAACCCGATGGACGGTCCGAGTTAATTTTTGAAAATAGGGACTAAACACGCTTTCTGGTATATGTACGAGAGACGATTGGTGTAATTTACCCTACATTTTACACTTCAATTTTGATGTTAATTTTAGCATATTTCTATTGCAACCTTGTTATCAGCATCCACTTAAACCAAATTCATTCTATTTATTGTATTTGACAACCTACGATAAAGTTAATGTAGTAAGCAATTTTCTCTTCAAATTTTAAATTATCATATCGAGCTTGGTTAATCTTCTTTCTCCTACTCTGCCATGTTTAAATTGTATTCTTGTGGTGTACACGTGCTTTCCTGTTGTTATGATATGCTAATTTCATTTCATTTAATGCTTAATAGCCTTGTATGATATTTATGTGTTTTGATGTAAGTTGTACTTTCACCGTTCATCTATTTAGGCATTGAAGTATCATTTTTATTATGATTATTATAATACTAGTTTAGTGCTAAATTGATAAAGAATAATAGTATATGGCTAAATCGATAAAACGGTGAAACTCACTTCTACATTTTTTTTCTTTTTTTCCTTGACATCACAACCGAGTAACTGGTGGAAAGCTTTTTTAATATTGTCAAAAGAGGTATAATGGTTTAATTACAACATAAAAGAGATAAGTGGCTAAATCGATAAAATAATGAAAATTAAAGTGATTTCTATATTTTCTCTATAAAAACAATTATGTAACTCATGATTAATGCATGAACAAAGAATGTTTAAGGTTTTTGTCACAAGGATAAAATGATCTGTGTTGCATCCATCAGGTAAGGTAAGGTAGGTAGGCTGCTGCTTTACTTAATTTTAATAAAATTTGTCAATTTTTGACCTTAAATTTAATAAATTTTGTTTAGGAGCCAAGACAGTCAAATCCTTCTTTGATCCAAAGTCTACCGCCAAAGTTCATGTAAGTTCTTTCCCCTTTTTTGACATATTAGAGAACTCCAACTTTTGTAAAAGTTCGTTGAGTTGACTAGTCAATGACACTATTTACATGTAGGTTTTGGGTTGAAAATATCAAAACCAGCTCCTCGAAATTATCGATGTCAGGTACTTTTATTATTTTATGAAATAATCTTTCATGAATATAAACTTTAAACAATATGTGCAATTGTGTTGATAAAGAAGGGTAGTTCTATAATTTCCTTCCTGATTAAAAATCTTGTATCCGTTTTTATAAATGTTAAATGTGTTGTTAATTTTGGTGTAGTAGATGGTCCGTAATGGTCAACACAAATGTTCAAAGAATGAAATACCAAAAGAGAAGACAATTTCTGAAGACCAATATGCAAAAAACGGTAGTTTTCTTTCACCAACATGTATTACCATTTACTTTTTGGTCGGAATCGGAATTCAATTCCATTTCAGTCCTGCATTTGGTTTCAAATGAGTAGACAGTAATCTCCTTTCTATGAGTGTAACACTCGGGTCAGGTGCATATTATTGTTATTATTATTAAGTTAAAGGTTTTCAATTTTGGCCCTTCTCACGACGTGAAGAATGTTTGTCACATCGTGACGAGTAATTTGGACCCACACATCATTTTGAGACTCGTGACGTGAGCTATCCAATGCTTGTGATGTTAGAGCAGTCTGAGGACCAAAAACCCTAATTTTTGGTATTTAAAGGAAAGAGGGGGTTAGGGTTGTTCACCCTCCGCCTCCCTCACACTCTAAGCCCCAGAGAACCCTGAGATTTATCATCCTTGAATTTCTTAGCTATTTTGGTTCCATTTCTTGCTTGAAGAAGGAGAGTAGAAGAGGAAATGGGTAATCTATTGGTGGATTGGGATAAGTAGCAACATTATCATCACCTCTTCTTGTTGTTGGACCTTTGTATGTATCAAAGATCCAAACTTTATTGCATATCATGGGTAGATCTAGGATTTTGTCCACTTTCCTTCATGTTTAGCATGCTTGAGTGAAGTAAATCCATAAAGTTAGCAACTTTATGGATTTTAAGAGTTCCCTGATCATCATATTGTTTAGATCTGAAAGTTGGTGAGATTTAAGAGGCATGCATGAGAGTTAGAAGCATATTTCTTCACTTTTGACCTAGAATGGGTTGGATCATGCATGGTGCTAGCATGGCCATAAAGGAGACATTTTTACAGACTCTAGGAGTCCCCTTTAATTTCTGGATGATATGGATTTGAGAAGTTAATAGAATAAGGACATAAAGTGGTGACTTTTAGCTTCAGACGGTGCTCACGACGTGAGACATAAGATCTCACGATGTGAGATTTGAATAACCCCATTTTCTGTTAAGATTCTTGGAGCTCACGACGTGAGAGTGGGTGCTCACGTCATGATGTCAGCTTAGGTGGTTTCTTTGACTGAGTTGCCAAGGTTGGGTCGAGTCGAGTTGGAATCGTACCGAGTGGACTTTCATGACATGAGGATGGATATTTGACAATAAGGGTTGTTGACTTTGACCATGTAACATCCTGTTTGCTTCCATTTTTGCGCAATGGACCAGAAGTCGATTAGTGAGGTTTTAGGCCTTAAGGAGGCAAATTTTAGTCCTTACTGAAGGAGGTAATGATAGTTAATAGATTTTACCGTTGAATTGTGTTCTAGGCCGAAGGGTAGAAAGGGAAAAGTCATAGGTCGGGTTCTTCCGTGAAATATGGAATCTCACTAAAAGTACTTCCGGTAAGAAAATTCCATACTTCGAATAAAAGAACATTACCATGTGGAAGTCGAAGGCAATGATGGTCCTTGTAGCTATGGACTACTTAATGATAGATATCGTAAAAAAGGGTCCATATGTTCTTATGTACCATCCCATAAAGGACATTGTCAAAGAAGATGAAATAGTCGAAAAATATGTTAATGAAATCAATGATGAAGAGTAACATCTTGTTACTCTTGATGCCAGGGCATGTGTTGCTATTGGAAACTCTATTCTTTATCACATATACCACTTTGTTTAGAACTGTCGATCAGCCAAGGAGATGATGGATACGCTGACTGTTGCCTATAAAGGTACCAATGAGGTATATGATGTTAACAACAACTGTCTTAATCGACAATATGAGCATTTTTTCAGCAAAAGAATGAGACTCTTATTCAGGTCTTCAATCGTTTTAATTTCTTGGTGAATGATATGCATCGACTTGAATGAACAAGACTAGAAACTCTTTGGTTCTCAAGTTTCTTGATTCACTAAATGATAGTTGGGAACATCATGTAGATGTTTTGAAGAATAGTGAAAATATCGCAACCATGGATTTGGCTTCTTTGTTTGGTAATATTTGTAATCATGAAAAACGAAAATTTTGAGAAAGGAAATCTTGCGAGATGCTTACAAGGATAGATATGTGACATTCTATTCGAAGAAGTTTCCTCGGAATAGCGATAGTGACATCTCTGATGAATCTGAAGGTGAAGTCGTGATAGTCACACGCTATATTAGCCGGAATGATTAGAAACCTTCTAGACTTAAAATGTTTCGATCAAATACGGACTCAACAACGTCTAAGGGTTATGACGTTAGAAGAAAATCTGATGCTGAAAAGAAAGAGGCCCCAAATGTTTCAATTGTGGAGGAGCTGATCATTTTTTCAGGGAATGCACGTCCAAGAGGGTTGGTACTAATGAAGATTATGAGGTAAAATACAAGAAGTTGTTGGCCTCTTTAAAGATATGGAATATTATTTTAAAGATCTTTGTTATTGAAGTGGAAAACTAGGTGGATGATGAAGAATCACCTTACACAGATGGAGGAAAAAGAAAGTGTTTGATGGCTCACATTGATGCTCCAGTCACTATAAAGAAAGTATAGAATCTGGTACCCTTGAAGCTGATCTGCCTAAGCCGCTAAGGATTCAAAGAATCAGGACTGGGATTCCATATCTATATATCAGGTAAACAAGTTCATCACTTACTCTGATAATGAAAAGTGTATCATATTTGATTACATGTGTCATCACCTCTCAAAAGTTAACCAAGAAAAACATTCACTTAGGTAAGAGATTGACACTCCGATAGAAAATTCGCCCAACATTGAAAATACTCTTGTTTTAACTTACACTAAAGTCACCAATCTATCTCTTACCATTATTGACCTTCATTCTAAAAAGGATAGAGCAAAAATGTATGCTGACAAACTTCAAGGTATCGTGAATAATTGGCTCACTCTCAGCATAAGTTCAATAAAATAATAGGCACCCATATACCTGATCAATGTGAGAAAATTCTTGGTGGAAATATTGATGAGGCTGTTAACATTTATAAACATATTGAAACTGAACAAAACTTTCCTTCCTCTCATGATCTCAAGGAAAGTTTTAAGTATGGGTTCATTAGTCACTCATTCATAAATCAATCTCTCATTGATAAACGTTGCACAACTAACCCAGATGGTGTCACTGTTTGTACTACCCATCTAACTACACTAGATCTTACTATTAGAAGCCATGCCT